CTACTGCCACTGTCAGTCTACAGAATGTTAAATAAAGTTATTTGAATATTTGTAATATTAATGTGCCGGCATGTCAAAAGCCTGCCGGAGTCTAACAGTGAAAAAAAAAAAACTAAAGGGAAGATTCATATTTCTTTGGGGTCTATAAGACTGCTTGGATGAGAAATTATGGAAATACTAGACTATATAAATACATAATCATGAGTATTGTACCAGATAGATGGACTATGGAGGAATGCAGTGGTAATCTGAAAATAATTCTAATAGAAAAGTTTTAAGATTAGATCAAAGACTATATATGTTCTCTCTTACTTCTCTCGCTACACAAACACACACAGAGGCCACACATATAAATGACACAGAACCTAAACTTGTTAAAGTCACTAATTGTAGGTCTGAAAGGAATGATGAGAATATTGTGATTAATGAGTTTTTAACATGATCGTCGACTAATTAAGTTATGACTAATGACACAATACAGATGCCATTTGCTAATAACAACTTAATCAGAGCACTAAATAAGCCCAAACTGTAACAGAAATAAATAAGTATTTAAGCTGAAAGGCCTTTCTGTTTAAATGTTATATCCAGAAATCCTCGGGTGGCATAGTTTTTCCTATGCTTGGCATATTTAATAAAATAAATAAACAAAATGGTCTATCAAGCAGCTTTTGCTAGATTAATAATCAGTAAATCCAAAAATCAACTGAAAAAAAAATAAAGAAATGAAAGAAAAAAAATATCCCTAGTTGCCCCTGAATACTTTCTGCTCTTGTGTCTCAATCTTCTCAGACGGTGTGAAACACACTCTAACATAAAGGTTCTCCGCTTGCTAAATTGCTTTGCTCTCTAATGTAAAAAAGTAATAACTCTTTCTAGTAACTGTTTTAAAATGAAAGTTGAAGTAGTTTCTGTGATACAGCACAGCTGATGCGTTATCTGCAAGGAGATAAGATGTGAGCAACAATAAGAAGATTTAAATATTGTATTATATGTACTGTATTTTTTACTTTAAATCTTTCATTTATTTTGCTATGAAAAAAATCTTAGGTCATAAGCATAATTATACAAAAAAAAAAAAGATAAGACAAATGATCTGAAAAACCAATTTCTTATATTTGTGGATATTTTGGGTGTGTCCCTGTCAACACAAAACACCAGTTTTAAATTTGTTGATTCTCTGATTGTTTGCCTCAAGTTTGACCAAAGTCTGTTCATAGATAATAATAATAACACGACATCTTAAGTGGTAGTCACTCTACCTACTGCATTCAAGCAGTTTTAGGTTTGGAAAAAATTTACCTGCCTCATAGAAATAGTGTAACACTATATTAGATAGCATGGAGCCCAAAGCTTTGATTGACCTTTTATATCAAGTAGGGCTGCTTAGTGTTAAGAAAATTAGCATCATATTATGTCACCATTGAGATTTCAGACATCGGATTAATTACTCTATGAATTTTAATCACTGATTTGAGAAAGCAAAGATCATTAAAATGATCAATGATTACACAAGCAAATCATGTAAACGTAATCAAGGGGATTCTATCCATCACTCAGCCAGACCTCACAGCTGTGGTTAGAAAAATGCTTTATAAAACCTATTGCCACCAGCAATTCTGAAGTGCTTGACTTAAACAGGACACATGCACTCAAGGCAAGCTTTGCAGTGGCAAAGGTGGCAGGGTGCTGTTGGGAGTGTGTCTGCTCGATTTAACAGAGAGGTGATAAAATATTTAGCAGATTGCTTACATAGCTGAAGGGGGAGAGAGCAAGAGAAAGGCAGAGGCAGAAAAGAGGAGGGCATACTCAAATGGCTTGTGTGGGAGCTGGGGAGCTTGTAATGAGGGTGGCATGCTGGCATCATTGTTGCATAGAACAACATCGCTACATGGCCTCTATGCCTAGCTGACAGCGGGTACCACAAATACACATCACACTAAATGTCACTAATTAATGCATGAAAAAAGTGCAATCAGGTACCAACATGTGTTTCTTACGCTACAATGACAAGAAACATACATATTCAAGGAGAAAAAGATGTTTCCCTTAGTATAAACAAACATAGCATTCTATATTTAAAGTAGAAATTTTATAAACTACTACATTATATGTTTATCTTCATTAGAAAGTATTTGTGCCATTGTTAGTTTAGGGAAAGCTGTTTTACTATTAGCTACTTAAGGATGACATCCAATTTTAATGTTGTTTCAGCACCTTAGGGCCAATTTCACAGTAACAGTTACAGGTAATGCTACCATTGGGAGAAAAAAAAAGTGCTTCATTTTTTTCCAACTCAGCTTTTTACAAGTAGTCATCTTGTTCCAAAGCATACCCCACACTGATAGCTTCTCCAAATAAGCATGTTTTATTCTGAAAATAACACATTTCTGTTTGAATTCAAAGATCCCTCCATTATTAGAATAAAACCCCCCACGAAAAATGAATTGATCAAGCGATACTGAATTGAACATGTGAGTGTACTGTTTAGCTTTGAGTAAGGTTTGACCAAAGCAAAAACTAGGTCACATATTGATTTTCCTAGGGTGGGCCTGCTCTTTCAACCAATAACAGTTGCAGCAAAAATAGACAGAATGATGATTAAGCTTTTGTTTTTTCATGGTTTATACTAAATAGTCTACCAAGTCTGTTATCCCTCAGTATTGAGCTAACTCAGGTGTTTTCAGAATAAATGTTTATTATTTATATTAATGCATAAAAACCCAAACTGCGGGGTGTAAAAAGTGAGAAACTGTATTGCTGTTACTGGATGGGATAATCTCTGTGGAGATAAGACTGGAACAGGTTTCACAAATTTCCAGAGTGACAAGTTATGAGGGACCAATTTAGTCAACCTCTCTTTGATATAATAGATTTATATTGCTTCTTTGCTTGTGTCCTAAATGTAAGTCGGTATTTCCATTAAGATTTTATTCAACTTGAAATACATGCTTTACTTCCCAATTTCCTAAAAGAAAACTCAATCCAGCTAAGTGCTGTACAACCTAGACCAGTTGCCAGACAATTACATAAACAAAGGAAAGATTTATATTTAGGACAATTTTCAGTAACCAGTTTAACTAACAGTGATATTTTTGGAAGGAAGGAAGTCAAAAATCATCTGAGAAACTAAACCTCATAGTGTAGAACATACTGTATGAATTTTACAGAAAACCCTTGGCTAAGATTCAGACCCAGGACCTTCTTTCTGCAAGGCAATGGTGCTAAGAACTTCACCACTATGAAATCCATAAAAAAAGAATAACAAAAATCAACTGGTTCTATTATGAAAAATACATCAGATCAGATTTAGACCTTGGATTAGCCCCCTTATCCATATAAACATCTACATTATACAGCAGAAGCTAGATAAACTAACCATGCTCACAATAATCTTTGTTTACAAACAAGCCCTAACCTTTCATGTAGTGCTCTTATGTAAAATGTTATGAAACATAAAAGTGAAAATTAAAGAAAAAAGAAACAAAAAAAAACAAATGATCATTAATTAATGCATTTTAGAGAGCAAAATGTGTGACTCAAGATGCTTAAAGCCCACTAATGTTTCGTTTTGCTACACAATTCCTGATTCAAACATATTTGACATAAACCTTTCTCTCTCTATACAGTCGCTAAATCTTATACATCAGAATATGGAGTTGTTTTGCATAGGAACCAAAGTCATTCTGGGAGGATATTGTGGACACAGTCACACTCTATGTGCTTTGTAGATATGTGGCATTCTTATATCTGTTTATTGATCAGAGCAGATGGGCGTCAATCAATCTTATCTGAGCTTCACATACTCTCGAACTAACCTCCTGAGGCAGTCCTACCCAATACTGCACCACGCTAAGAGCCCTGAGCCACCCACAATATCGCCAGACACCTTGGGCATATTTTTTTTTCTGTATGTGTTTTTATGTGTGTTGAAACAACAAGGTGCACAGTCTAGAGGTGTCAAGGAGGACATATAAAAAAACAACGAAAAAAACACATTGACTCACACAACAACAAAAAGCAACCATGTACATCTTCTCTGCTGGATCTATAATTATCTATCTCTTAAAACTTATGTGTAGTTAGGCAGACACAAACCTTTCTCCATTTGTGAATTAGATTGTGCAAAATCCTGGCATTTCCTAGAGATTAGGACCTGATGCTAATGTGCTTTTTATTATATTGGACGTAGATGTGCTAAAGAGAGAAAGTGCAGCCCATTATGCTCAACAAAAGCCTTGTAACATAATGAGATAGATCTTTACAGGGATATGAAGAAGCTGTGATATATGGTACACCCATGCAAGTCTACCAAGAATCTGATTCTATTTAACATTAAGTAGAAGATGTGACTAAAGCAGAAATCAATACTCTAAAATGTAGTGCTATACAAAAGTCTTGAAAGCCATCTAACCTATGCCATTTCGTCTAATCATCCTTTAATAAACAGCAGATTTACATGGCTTTTCCTGATTTTCCCACCTAAGGTGGATCCTTGACTTTCTTTTCCCTCCTTCATAAAAGCAAGCTGCATCATACCTATTCAATTTTCTATGCTGCATATGTTGTAACCTGGATAACATTGTATAACCAAACAATGTTATTAAATTTCCTAAATATTATGCCTGACCTGCCTAATATTTTCCTAGGTTGTCATGAGACTTTCTCTTTACTAAGATTCTTTATAAAAACTGATGCCTTAACAGAGGTGATTTATTGGTACTGACGCAAGTGAGCTCTATGTACAAATTACTGAATTTTAATTACACTGTATATTGTTAAGGAATATAAGTAAAGGAACCAAGTACCAATGCAAACTAAAGTTTTCATAGTTTTGTTAAAAATACTTTGAAAACCACATAGTGAAAATCTCGATAAAAACACTGACAGCTGTGGTTGTAGCATGACACCATGAAAAAAACATTTAAATGGCATAAATATTTTTTGCAAGGCACTGCAACTCAAGCATTTTTTAGATGAATAAACTAATATTTTCTTACCACGGCAGACGTTGCTATTGTCAGGTTCGAACCCGGCCTTACACGTGCAGCTTCCAATAGGAACCATCCACTCTCCATCTCCATTACAGTAGAGCTTTATTGGGACATCTACTTCCTCTGAGTTTGAGATGCAGATTCCTCTGGCAATGACCAGGGAGGTGCTTTCTGCTCCCGTCATAGTCTCTGGAAATATTGCAAAGTTTTGGACCACACTTGGGCACTTCTTAAAAAACACCCTGACTGACAGCAGAGACATGCATGCACCGTAGTCCTGAAATGCTAGGTAGAAGCCATTTTTAGACAACGGGCCGAAGCTGCGCACTTCTGTGTTGACCTTCATTAAGCGCCCACCAAAGTCCACCTGAGAGAAACTTTCATCTGCAGCAATGGTGTCCACCTTGAGGTAGGGGGCCTCCATCCAGAAGGCTGTTCCTTTGGTGGCTATGACAGAATCAGTTTCATAGTAATAAAGATTAAAAGTCTCCTTGCAGGAGCCTGGGACATTTGGAATGGAGCTGCAATCCCGCACAGTGAATCGTATCTCCACATAGATGCGTTGAGCTCCACGGCGATCGATGAAAGTGGTGAGGAGCCAGTTGTTTTGACTGGGCTCAAAGACATTGCACACCTGGTAGGTCCTGATGGTGTTGAGGTTTTCGTCATAGCCACTCACCTCCTCCCACTGAAGAAAGAGAAAAAATAGTAGATAGTGAATTAGTAATCATCTTTAATTGAGAAATTATGCTTTTCTTTGCTTTAATTTTCTGTTAACATTGGCTTGGCTACAGATTTTATACAAATATCACTACCTTAACCTGGGATACTATTGTGTATATTTATTTTTTATTTTTGGCCTAGAGCATATCTTTAATAGCAATTTTTAATTGCTATTAAAAAAAAAAGTATAGTGGAGGTTTTCCTGAATTTCTGAAAAGCTCTGCCCTCTCAACTTAAAAAAAATGGACATGCACAACCCTGTACCCGCTCTAAAGAGGTCCTGTTAAACACATGCAAGAGTTTAAAAGTTTCTGTTTAACAGTTGCTGTTTGCATCACTCATAAAGCTTACTTTCTAAAAGAGGATTTGTAGTTTTTATATACAATATGTCAGATTAAGTGACTTTCACCGGTAAGCTAAGATGGGGACAAGCAGGTAAGACAGCCTTACATAAACATATCACCAGAATGATTGACAATTCACCACCCAGAAAAAGAACATCCTCCACTATACATTTAACAAAGCTATATTTGCCCAAGGATTGATAGGGCTTCTTCAGCCTTTGAGGAAACATTAATGTTTCCTTTTTTTGTGCAATACAATACAATTATCTGTGTGCAGCAACAACAAAAATGACACTTTGCCGTCCTGTTCTCTTAATGTGCTCAGCTGTAGTATATGTTCTCCCACTGCATCAGCAATAACTGAGTCATTACGGTGGTTACACTGCAATGTGGCATCTATGCTAAGTGATGCTGGGCACTTAGTTGATACATTAAAACTACAGTGTGTAACAAATTTTAGATTATGCACTGGTGAATTACAATTAGACAGAGACAATCTACATGGCTGCCAAGAGCCCATCTGATAGAAAGGCACTTGTGCACATGCAGAGATGAGATATGCTCTGGGCCATTTCTTGCAGGTGTGACCCAGAAAGTGTGTCGGATGAGCAGCAGAAGGCCTTTAGGGAGTTAATTCAGTCCACCAAATCCCGAGGAAAATATGCCATTAACATTTGGCCGGAATCACAAAAAATGGGAGCAGAAATCACAAAAAAATCACTTTGATTCACATTTGGCATCTAGAAAATGAAGATTAGTAATCATTGATGGATTTCCCCCTATTTTGAATATGATAATGGTAATATGTGTCACTACTAAGCATGTTTATAAATGTCTTTAAGGCTTAATTTCAAATACAAGAATGCAATCGGAAGGGAAATTTGAATGAATACACCAATGAATATATGTAGTGCTTTTGTCTAGAAACGGGAATGAAGAAGTTAAACGTATTTAATTATACCCATTCTCCTTTCTATAGTCCTTAGCACCAATAAACGTACTAAGGCTACTTTACTTATGTTGTAAGTTAAAGCTTATGTAACAGATTTGTTGATTAAGATATAAATCTTACTTTCTGTTATACCAGTTTAATTCAGACATCTCCTTCCAGACATTCAGATTGGAAGAAGCCAGGTCATGTGAACATCCACAGCTGTTGAGTAATGAAACTGATACTATTTAGAGAAGATAACCATTTATCTTATTCTAATACTAAGTAAGCTTCCCAAAGGCCAAAAAAACTGTTATAGTTACCAGAGATTAAAAAGAATAAAATAAAAACAGTTGCCTGTGGGAATAAACAAGTTAAGAAAAACAGACACTGAACATATTTGTAGTGATTTGATAAAAGCACTATGTGTGCGAACATTAAATAGCTACAAAAAAAAAAAAAAAAAAAGGTTTTTCAACTGAGTATCTGTCCTCTACCAATCTGGGGATTTCTTCACAATGCTTTTAACTCTCCACAGAAGAATAACTTCACAAAATCTTTAATAAAAAAGAGGAAGTATCCATTTTACATTTTTTTTCTAACACCTTTTATATTCAACTTAGCCAGTCCATTCTTTATTCTCTAATTACACATAGCAGCTTGGTTAAGAAAACTGTTTCTTCAAATACCTACCTGCCAAAGATTCAAATACCTGTACGAGAGAAGTTAATGAGATCTAGAGCAGACGGAGTGGACCTCTAGTAAGTTAATGTCTCTTGAGTGCATACATCTCCTGATGCTTCATCCTTCCTCTGACCTTTACAGCCCCACCTGTTCAATCAGGCTTAATAGAGCAGAGGAGAAATATCGCCTCTTCACAGAGACCCAAAAACGAGTCAACCGATGGCAAAGATTCCGAGGTCCTGCTCAATAATTCTATAAAATATTGTGAGATGACTGAAACGGTATGGATGTCAGCCATCTTATTTCAGCACAGATGATAAAACTATTTGGTGAACGGAAGATATTCAGAGAAAACAGGAAGGTTCAAACCAAGAGACGGCATGTACACGGTGGAGTGGGAAGATACATGATGAACAGGGCAACTGCTGACATGATAAATGAGTTTACAGAAATCTGAGGTGCAAATTAAAGCCTTTTTTTTCTCAACACAACTCCCTCAGCGCCCACTTCACTCCGCTCTCCTCCCCCTCTTCCCTCTTTCCCTTCCACTCTCTTCTCCCATCTCTGCTCTGTAATGACCATTCATCAGCATTACAGGAACCTGTCCCTTTCAGCACTGCCTGTTCATTAATACAGCCAGCCCCAGGCTCCTCTGCACCCGTCTGCTCTGGTCTAGGAGGGGGTCCTCACTGCCTCTCGTCTAGCCAAATGACCACAATATTTCACACCACAAAGGGGCCCAAGGCATCTAGAATAATGCCCATCCACAATCTGTCGGGAAATTCATCTGCTCACATAATAATGAAATACATTTTTTCTTTCCTACTCAGTAGATATTCAGTGTCACCATTGTGTCAAACACAAGTAACAAGGTCGCTGGTTATTTAGGAGATAACAGATTCTGATACATTTAGCCTCAGCCTTTCAGGGGTTTGCATTTCAACACTGTTTACACCCCTGTGCTTGGAGACAGTCGTGTTTGTAATTTGATAGTTTAGCGACAAAATATTGATTGTCTGGCTTTTGTTTTGCTGCTGAGGGCTTGAGGGTACCTGCCACATTTCTGTAGGTCCAAAACATTTGATTACTGAGGTTATTGACATTTTCTGTGTTCTTCAGCATCTCTGTAATTTTCTCCCAACTGAAGGGCCCTTGTTGTATGCATTTAGAACGTAGGGATAGTCTTGCAAGGAGCATGTCCTTGTCACATATTTCTTTGTTATTGCTCTTTCCTCCAGTCATTTACATTGTTCAAAATGTACCAATCTGACATCTTTTTGACCCCTGAAAAAGGAGTCATCATCACCTGTCATCTCAAAGATAATGGAATTCCCTGTTCCTAGCATCCTTTTCTTCTAAGTATTTTTTTCTGTACCAGCTCAAAGCTAAATGTGTGTATTTTAGTCCTGGCATTAAAGACAACAGAAAACTATTTGTGCCGCCTGTATCAACATGTATTAACTAGAATGAGGAAAATAAATCAATAATGAAAGGAAAGCTAAGAAAACGGATAAGGTAATGCACAACTCAACATGGAGACTCACCTCACTGTGTATGTGGTATATCAGTTTGGCTGGCCAGGCTGTCTTTTGCTTCTTATTGTAAAAAGTGAAACTAACTTATAGATTAATTAAACATAGATTAAATAATTTTGTCTTAATTTCTTGCAATCTTTCTCATTACGGACAACAAAAATTCAATATCCATACTATTAAAACTAAGGGACCTTGAGGTCATCTGCATTGATTTTTCTGCTATGTCTCTTCCTCATGACTATACCCTATATAATTCTCTAAGGTAGGAATGGGCACCTACAGTTCTAAAAAGCTGGTGTTCTGTAACTTTACAACGTGCCTTTGGGCAAAACCACCTGAATCGGGCATGCAGGTGGCGCAGTGGTTAGCATGCACAACCCATGTACGGATGCTTTAGTCCTCGACGCAGGCCACCCGGGTTTGAATCTGACCTGTGGTCCTTTCTCGTATGCCTCTCCCTCTCTCTCTTTCCCCCTTTCCTGTCAGCCTAAAATTAAAAACAAGCCAATAAAACTAAAAATACTAAAAAACACCTGAATCAAATGACTGAATTAAATCCTCAGTATGCAGGTTCTCTAGAGTCATAAAAATCATCACATTTTTTTTTATTCAGGTGTTTTTTTTTTAGTACTGTAGGCGTCAGGACACCCACTCTCGAGGACTATTATCCCATCCTGGTCTATGAGGTTAAGGCCAGATTGCTGGTAAAACAAACACAGTGTAACACCATGGTCGCTAAACCTGCTTCGGTAATTTTGGACATTTGGGCAGGTGCCAAATATTGCTGGAAAAGGAAATCTGCATCTCCTTAAAACTTGTTAGCAGTAGGAAACATCAACTGTTCTTAAATTTCATGATAGATACCTACAATAACTTTAACACCATAAATTATAGCGGATCAACAGTAGAAAACTACACACTGGACCAAAAGCAATATGGATTCTGTGGCTTTCCACTCTTCCTCCATATTCTGGAACCTCTGTTTTCAAATTATTTGCAAACTTTACTTTCATCTGAAAAGAGGATTTTGAACCATTAGAGTCACTTGAAATAAGGAATGCAACATTTGTAGCCTACTTTTAAGATAGAGCTAAACAAAGTGACTCTTGATGCCTGACTCCAGGCATCAAACCAATCCCAAACACTCCCTCTGAGGCCTCCCCTTGCTTTTGTGTGGAACTTGCTGGAAAATCATCTACAGTAAGACTCAAGATATCCCTGTTGCACATTTTCTTACCACACTATTTCATTCTCCTCAACTCCCCAACAGGCTAATCACGCCTGGTGCAGGAATTCCGTTTAGGCTCAAATAAGACAGTCTAAACACTATCAATGCTTAGTGTACAGTACCCTATTTCATCATGATCAAGTGTAACATAATCTGCAACAAAACCCCATAATATTTAAGACAAATTACTTAAGTTTCAATCATTAGTCACACATTTTGACATGCTTTGAAATTGGGATTGTG